TGTCTCAGCCGCGCACGCAGGGACAGTCTAAGACCGTTCGGCCCCTCACTCCAGTAAGTTTAAAATCAGTCGTTATGTTGGCGGAAGTACAAGTTTTAGCTTGCAAATGCAATTCGATCGAATTAGCCTTGCTCATGTAAGGTCAACTCTTGAGATGTCAGAAGTGCAATTTATAGAAGATCAATTTGTGGCGGACGGACAGGGCCCGCCTCTTCCACCGACCCTGCGGGCGAGCGCTGGCATGGATTGCGGATGCGCGGGGCTGGCGCGTGGGCACCAAATCCACGGGCGGAAGACGTGCTGCCGGAGGCAGGTCCGCGAAGGCTACAGTGAAACAGATCTCGTGTGTCCAACTCTTTTGAAGGGGCCCTGGGACACACACAAATAAATACACACAAATAAACAGATTCCCCATATTTTTCCATATTTTCTGGGTTTTTGTCTTCCCCTCCACTTCCGATATGTTCGCATATTTTCGGGGGAATCGACGATGAATTGACTCTGTGTGTTTTTTCCCTCCTGATCGTTGATGAGATTGCATAACCAGCTCTGTTGCATCGTGTCATATCACTATGCTCCCCCTCCCGAGCTCCCCCGCACGGAGCCACGCTACATCCACGACCAAAGGTGGTGGACCCCCTCAGGGGCTCAGCAATACAAAAGCACCTGGTGAGCGTTTTTTCTCATTCGGCGTTTCGACACTGGGCAGAAGGGGGGGGAGGGGGGGGCGGTCTGGCTCCGGACCTCTGCTTAGTGCGACCGTTTGTAGAATTGCGTCCTATGGGGGAGGCTCCACCTGCATGAAACAGGCGCCAAAGACAGCCAAGATCTACACCCTGCGATATGCTTAAGAAATCATGGGTTAAGAAATTCATAGTCTCAGAATTTGAATAAAAACCCATAACTTCGATTATAATCATAGGATTTACATTGAAACGTTAAGAATAATCGAGACTCTGGCCGAAAACTGGGGTTTTCTTAAGCATCGCCTAAGGTGTACTCCACGGGGGGGGAGGGGGGGTCCGAGAGCCCGCACCGATCGGCAGAACAGTGAATAAGAAAACGATCACCTGCGGGAGATCAGGAAATTTGGCTCCGTGGACTGGTTGAATGTCGTGGACGGCCTCGAGACGGCTCTGGAGGGTCTCAAGATGCCTCCAAGATGGCCCCAACGCGGCTCAAGACTGATCAAAAGGCCGTTAAGACGGCCCAAGAGGGCTCAAAGAGGACCCCCATAGGCCAGACACATTGTTTTAGTGTTCTCGTTTATCGGGTTTCGGACACCCCGAGGCAGTCCCAGAGGCCCCCAAGATGGCCCCAAGACGGCCCAGTGAGCGTCCAAGAGGGCCCCAACACAGCCCAAGAAGGCCCCGAGGCCCAAGGTGGCCCAGGAGGCCCCCAAGTCAGCCCCCAGACTACCGAAATGGGCCCCAAGACGGCTTGACAGACTACCAAAGGCGGCCTGGAGGGGTCCCAATGCGGCCCAGGAGCGCCCGAAGACGGCCCCAGACGCCCCCGAGACACCCCAACAGGGCCCCCGACAGGCCCCCGAGCAGCCCCGAGATGTCCCCCCGAGGCCCCCCGAGGCCTCCGAGAGGCGCCCAAGGCGTGCCCAAACGCGCGTGCTTCCACACTCCGGACGTGCACCCCGCCAGGCACGGAGAAAATAGAGGAAAAAGAACTATGCACATGCACCGATTCTGGCCAGGCCCATCCTGAGCCCAAGATCGGTGCATACGCCCTCCTACCTTGGCCAGGAAAGCATATGCACCGATCCTGGGTCAAGGATGGGCCTTGCCAGGATCGGTGCACGTGCATAGTTCTCTTCGCCCGAGAAAAACCACGCGCGGGGGACGCGCATCCCCCCGCGACAGCAGGCCGACGCCGCGCGACCCGTGGCGACGGGCCGCGCCGGAGTCTGTGCGGAAGCGGGGCCAGCCGCCAATCCGCGCACAGCACAGCCGGACCTAGGATTCAGTCGGGCCTTGTCCCTCTACAGGGGGGATGTTCAAAAACAGTCAAAAAATAGTCTGGGGACTGTTGTTAGTTTGACTATTTTTGATCATTTGGGGGGTATTGTTTAAGTCTGTTTCATTTTTCGCCCAGAATCCCCCCTGTAGGGGGACACGCCCGACTTAAACCTAGGACAGAAGAACATCCTTCAAGAGCACGGGGCCCTCCGCTGGGCAAACTCACGAACACTCGAGGGCACCCCCCCCAGGGATGCACAAGAAGATCCAACAAGCACGAAGAACATTGGGGTACCCTCCCCGAACCGACCTCGGTCTCATACCTCGGTCCGAGCGTAACCCATGCTGCTATTTCATCGAGGTGTCATCCCT